AGACAGGGATGATCGTTCTTTTGGCCGAGATAGAAATCGGGATTCTGACAAAACAGATACAGACTGGAGGGCCCGTCCTACCACAGACAGCTTTGATGACTACCCGCCTAGAAGAGGTGATGATAGCTTTGGAGACAGTAAGTTCATTTTTATCAAATTAGTTGTTTCTGTGTTCATTTCTCTCTTTTGCAGGCAATTATTTATAAAGAAACCCAACAGATTCTATAAGTAAAGTACTTGAATTAACAAGAGTTCAGCAAAATTGCTGGGTTAAGAGCAGTATAGAGTTAGTCCTCAATGTCATCAGTAGGTTCTGCCACTTTTAAGTGAAACAGCATATAATGAAACCAGTTTTACTATATGCTAATTGATATAAATAATAGTTAAGTTCCTACATCTTATCAACATAACAAAACAATGTAGAACAGAACTATGATATTTGAGGGCCTGCTATACAAAAATTGTTTGCATTACTAGCAGCAAACAGTCCAAATGTAATTTTTTTAAGATACAATTCATTCGCTTCAGAAATACTGAATGTCTGCCAGGTGCCAGATAATGCTCTAAGCTCAGGATTCAGCAGTGACCAACACAGACTAAAATCATGTCCTCTTTGGATATTGTTTATACTGGGGAAGAGAAACAATCTACAAATAAATAAAAGATAATTTACTTTAAAGAAGGAGAATAGAGAATGTCATGGGGTCAGAGTTGGGGTAAATGACAACTTGTACACACATCACCTAAACCCAGCAAGCTTTGTGAAACCTTTATGGAGGAAATTGTGCAGCTTGGTTGACATACATAAATCCTCAACACTGCAGTTATTTTTAAAATGGAAAGAGCCTACTGTTCAGTAAGAAATGATGAGTGGTTTGTCCATATAATGGAATACTTTATAGTGTAACATACAGCGATAAAATTCAAAACCTATTTTATTTTATTTATTTTTAAAGATTTTATTGGGGAATTGCGGGGAGGGGAACAGACAAGTTGCTGTCCTTTTGTTCTTCAGTCTAGTTGTGGAGGACGTCACTTCACTGGCCCATGTTGGTATTATTGTTATCTTCCCAGGTGAGGCAGATCAGTCGCCGGCCACTGGGCGGTCACTCACAGCAGCACTAGGCAGCTCATGCCAGCTGCCAGCCACTCATGGTAGCTTATGGTAGGCCCACTGCAGTTCCACTGCAGCCTACGCATCACTGGTGACGCACGGCAGCCCAGCTCCAGGTCGAGCTGTTGTTCACCATCTTAGCTGTAGAAGGCGCAGCGTCACTGGCCCACGTGTGGAATCCGAACCCTGGCCCTGCTGCTTAGAGCTGGCATCCCAAACCAACTCTTAACCAACGCACCAATCGGCCGGCCCTCAAAACCTATTTTATTGAGGGGTGAAAACAAAGCTGTAGAAATTTGAAAACAATATCATATTGTTAGTAAACAATATTAGAGTGTTAATAGCCAAATTGTGAAAATGTGTGTGTGTCATGTAACCACCCTAATGATTGTGGATGGAGGGTGGAGTGGGTCCTTTAGGTACATCTATAATATACTGCTTTTAAATTTAAAGACTGAAATAAACATGGCAGAAATAGTGACATCAACTAAACTTAAATAATAGGTTCATAAGTCTGTTACAATCACTTCTGTACTTCTGGTATGTTTGAAATACGTTGTAAATAAAAAGAAATAGAGGTAGAGCTGGGCTGCTGTGAGTCACCGGCGACGGCGTAGGCTGCAGTGGGGCTGGCCAGCAGCGGGCATGAGCTTTCGTGAGCTGCCGTGAGCCACCGTGAGTGGCCGTCCAATGGCCGGCAACCAATCTGCCTCACCCGGGAAGAGCGCGATGATAATACCAACATGGGCCAGTGAAGCGATGTCCTCCACAACTAGACNGTGAACCCAGCAATCCAGAGAGGTTGAAAGGATTTGGTTATGCTGAGTTTGAGGACCTCGATTCTTTGTTCAATGCCCTGAGCCTCAATGAAGAGGTAAAGAAAATAATGGTGGGGAATTTGAGGGGTGGGACCCAACAAATCTCATGTTTATCAAACTGATGTTTTTTAAATGGGGTCAGTACCTATTTCAATGATTCCCATAATCTCTACAAAGAAAAGCCTGGATTATTTAAATTAATAATGTAGCACTTAAGTCACACCTCACTTCAGCATATTCAACAGTCCCCAGTAATGCAGAGAGGTAGTTAGGTGGAAAATTTATGGAAGAAACCTACGACACCAAGTCTTCAGTTGGTTCACTCACAGCTTTGCCTCAGCTCTTGTGGCTTTGCTTTTTAAAAATAATCTGACTAGATCAAGCCAAATAGAAAAATCATGTTAATCAGGTTAGTATTAAATAAATAGCATTGTCTCATTTTCAGGGAAGTAACGGTGTTTTTTTTATATAATTTTAAGAGGGTTTAGAAACATTTCTCACTTGGATGTCATTTGTGGTAAATACATGTTCCTAGGAACCTTTTACAGACAAATGATAGTAAACATTCAGTCCTTCTGCTTTTTAACATTGCCCATAGATGTTTTTCTATTCAGACACACTAGAGGTTCAGTAAGGAGAGGCGATCCAGCTGTTAATACGTGAGGGAGAAATTAAGATTAAATCTAACTGTAATACATTTATTTGTGTGATTGGTGCCATGTGATTCTTAGGCTGGCCTAAGCAGGATATTAAAGCCTTTATTTACTTGTTAGTGATGGAAGTTTCTAATCTAGGAACTGCTTTTTTACCTCTAGTGACTTTAAAAATCTAATTATATCTGGGAAGAAAAAAGGCTCTTTTTTTTTTTTTCCTTTAAATTCCAGAAATCTCTTTATTGTTTGTTGAAGGCAATTTCCAATGCCATTTGTGCCATAATTCTATGGTCCAAATCTGCCATTTGACATGATTGCTATCAACATCTTTTAAAATATTTTTCCTGTCTCATAATTGAGTCCCACCATGATAATCTGAAGTAAATGTTAGATAGGAATAAAAATTCACATATTTAGTTAAATATATGAAAAGTTAAAGTTGTTCCAGAGTTTTTCTTCTCAGATCATTTTTAGATTTTATTAACATTCCTAATTTTAACTTCTCTGTCCAGATTTTTTTTTTTTGTAGCATACAATTATCTGAAGTTTGCTGAATTAACTTAATGTAATATGTTCTCATGGTCCAGACTTAAGGAGTTAACTGTGTATGTAGAGATTTTATTATAGTGGTATTTAATATAATCCCAGGTGTTTTTAACTAAAATTCACTGTTATCCTTCTTCGACTGTAGATTCTACTATGAAATGAGGAAAAAATCAGCAGTAGAATTAAGTGGGTTCAAAGTATATAAATAATGATGTGGGAAAGGGAAATCAGAGGGTATCCTGGAGGAACTGATTATCCAAAGGTAATATTAAGTAAAAGAACTTGAGAATGTAGATAGAAACCATGCTTTATGCAACTTTGTGATACATAGTAGGGGTTCTATAAATGCTTGAATGAATAATTACTCTGGACCCAAATATGCCTTCTATTTAGCTGGTTGTCTGGGAATTATTTTTAATTTATTACACTTGTTACTAAATTAAATTGTCTTTGATAGTTAAAAAGTTAATTCTATTCTGTGAAATTCAGTTTTAATTTAATTGACCTGACATCATTTAAGCCCAACATAAATTTATTAATTCTGAGGTGTTATTTCAGTTTTCAAGTCTTTTTTATAAAGGATTCTTTAGCCAACTAAAGGAGTGTTGGCTAGATTACAGTGTTTTTCCTTTATCTTCCTTCCCCCAGTGCTTCTGCTATGCCCAGACGTTCAAGGTCACTCATGGGATATGTGCATAATGGGGCAAAAGGTTGGTTAATATGGTCCTATGCTCTCAGTCTCTAGGTAACAGGAGAATTCGAGTGGACGTTGCTGATCAAGCACAGGATAAAGGTAAGAAAGCTGATGGAAATTTTCCTGTTTTCGTATGGTCCTAGGATGACAAAGGAGGGCTGCCCTTTCCCAGAAAATATTTATGGAGGTAGATAGTGGTAGGCCTACGTTAACGTAGAGTAATAGTTCTTAACAGTTGTGCCCCTTAAGGGGCGTTTGTCAATGTTTGGAGACATTTTAGGTTGTCACAACTGTGGGGAGTGCTGCTGACATCTAACAGATAGAATCCAGGGACTAACCCTGTAATACATAGGACAGCCCCTCCCAGCAAAGAATTATTCAGCCCAGAATGTTAGTAGTGTTGATGGTGAGAAACACTGATTGACATAGGTGACCATTAATATATAATAAATGAGGTATCCAGCAGTATATTGGACACAGGAGGGGCCTAGTTCATGTGTATATCAGGGCTCCTATACAGGTGATGGGATAGATAAATCAAGCCAGAAGAATAAATGTGGGGGAAGAAATCAGTTGAGTTTGGACAGTGCACTTACAGAATCTGGGGCAACTTCATGAGGAGCAAAAAGTACAGTAAATTGAGGGGGGGGGGGTTTCTATGCATGCAAAAAATACTGGGCAAAAGTTTCTGTGAACTCACTTGTGGTTTTTTATTTTATGTATCAATAGACAGGGATGATCGTTCTTTTGGCCGAGATAGAAATCGGGATTCTGACAAAACAGATACAGACTGGAGGGCCCGTCCTACCACAGACAGCTTTG